CAAGAATCCATAAAAATATAAAGAAAAAAAGAAATCTCGAGTAATACAAATTTATTAAAAATTATATAGGGAATCTTTGTTTCAAAGAATCCTTAAAAAGTTAGTGTGTGCCTAGAGGAAACTTTAATTGACTAGGGTCTGTGTTAAGATGGCAAATCTCACATCACTTAAGTCTCACATACATATAATACATAATACCGCATAGCTCAACGCTACAGGATCAAACGCTGGTTTATCAATGTAAGGAAATAACTACAATCACATCCTCTTTCTTTCATGTATCAAATTCACTCATCCGAAAGGATGAAATAACAATTCAGATCTTGGAATACTTCATTAAGTATAAATGAGTATGTTTTAAACCTGCTAACCTTACGCTTGGTTTATTATAATGGCAGAACTTTTCGCAAATTATAGATTCTTGTTCTGACGACGCCTTTATTACGATAGACGAGAGTTCAGCTCAGTCTCATGAAGGTGAGAAGAAGGCTTCCTCACACAATCCAACATAATTCCACATTTAGTTTCCGATGAGGCCAATTCTTGAGTATCTTCCAGCCAACTGTTCCTCCCAAATAGAAAGTATTAAAATACCAGATTTAAACGGATAATGCTGAAATGAAGCTCAAAGTCATTCTCAATGGCACGAGTAGTGAGCCAGATAGCCATGAGAAAATTAAATATGCACAAGGATTTCCAGCTTCTTTGCAAACATCTAGCATTAATTATTAAAGTCGATTTGCGATAACCACAACCCTTTATAATCGACTCAAACCAATAATTGCATCAGGTTATTTCATAAAAAATAATAATCCTGACTCAAGTTATTTTCGCAAGTAAAATTTGCTATACAAATAGCGTAATTGACATAACTAAAATTTGCAGGCTTTCAAGTAGCCTAGTTTGGTCACACCATTTGTCACTGGCCTTCGAGAATGAAACGCTCTTGGATATGAATAAGTCATGAGCTATTCCAGAATGCAATGCATATATATATATATCTTTTATTTTCTCTCGGATACTATTCTTCGTCATCAGGCTAATATTTAGTAAAAGAACAAGACATAGCTGAAGCATCTCTCTGGACAATCAGAAAGTGTTCGTACCCCAGACCAAACCATGATATAAAATTTAGTTCGGAAAAATAATCAAATTAACAATCCAAACTAAGGAAGTTTATTTATCCGTATTTAATTATAGCGTTGTATGCATAATCAAATAAGGAAAATCATATAAAAATTAAGCTTGATTGAGAAACAATCAAAAGTATGATTATTCGTTTCTAAAAAAACAGCACTTTCCAGCTAGAACCACTCATATTAACATAAATTACAAATGCACACCCTTTTCTCTGGGGCCGTAAAGATCCGCTGACGAATGGAAGATCCATCTGAATGCGACCCGGATGTGCAAACGTTGCCCGAGAGCAAAGTATCAACTTGGTTGAGGGAATTAGCTATGCAAACAGAGCAGTCATCAGTATGCTCAATATCCAAGTCAACATCCAAGTTAGCCGCATTAAGTCTGTCAGTTGAATAGCTGCGCCGACCAGCCAATTGATGACTATCATTGCCGATATTGATTTCGACGTCAGCACCAACGGAGTCACCGCTTCTACCACTCCCAGTAATCTTAGAAAGAAGAAGCAGGTCATCCTTGGGAGCAGTCAGTAGATCAGGCTCTAGTCGGCATCCCGAATCAGGGGAACTAAAGAACTCATCGGGTGGACTCTTCTTTACCCGCAGGACAGGTGACTGAGAAGATCGGTTTATGCAGGTATGCAGCCTGTGTGATTGCAAATCTATTGGGTGCTGAGCTATCTGTGCATGCAATTGCTGACTAATGGTACTTCCAAGGCAGCGACCGAGCGAGTCCTGACCATCTGCGGAAAGCTGTGTTTGGAAAGCGTGGAGAAGAGAGACCAGATCTGGAGTTAAGTCTTGCTTGAGGCGGGCTACCTGAAGAGAAACAGAGGAGGGAATATTCCAAGATAGTAAATTTAGAATCATTATTCATAGATCCATCTATATTGCACTAGTTAAGACCCATATGAGGCTCGCAGATGGAATCCTATATTGAGTATGAATTGAAGCCTTTTCAGATGTTCATCCCAAAGGTGATGAGAATGTCTTGCTTATCTTCCTGCTGTCTTGAAGTGTGCGTAATAAGCTAACGTGGTCTAGTCATCGAAAGAACGACAACCCTTCTGCGGTTAATAGAAAAACAAGAGAAAGGTATATATTGAAGAATCCAATGTTGAAACCAGCAGAAGATCTTGAAAATAGCTTGAGTCATCCGCGATCGCATAAGTTGTTGTAAGGACAGATAATTGAATTTTTTACAAAGAAATTAGTATGCCTTACAGCATTAGTGAATTTCATTAGTTTTGACCTCACTTAGATGTTATAAGTAATCCTAAAAGGAGCCCAAATCGAATTCGAAGTCTGTGATGATTCAAAATATTATTCAAAAATAGTGTCGAATAATAGTCTTATCGAAAGTAAGTACTTAAGTCGATTTAGATGATAAATAAAAGTTTGCTAGATCAAAACTCATTATAAATGTGATCTTGGAAAAGCCTGGTTTGTCTTCTCCCTAGAATCCGTTTCTGGTGGCCAAGTGGTAACATGCTACCACTTGAAGTATGAGACCCATTTTTAAATTAGGTTGGTAACGCTGATGAGTCCTAAGCGATGTATAAAATACAGTCTAAGTTGAAAGTTATAAAGTTCTAAATATAACTTATGCAAATTTTATGGCATCGCGAAACACTCATTTAATTGTGTAAAATTTAAATGTGTCCCTACGTTAACCTAAGCGACCAAGGGTTACCCAAGCACGCATTTAAGAAAAAGGTATGACTACTCAATTAGCACGAGGCAAATTTTGTCATACGTTTAGGTATCAAATAGACTCAACAATATGACATAATAATAAGATAACTGTCATTATTTGTACGTACATCTATTTATGAACCACATGTATTGTAAAATTTTGGACTAAATTGAAAACTTTATTCGAAGGTATGAAAACGAAGATGGTGTGGTCTTTTGTGGTCGCAGTATCCTTTCGTTGTATATTAAATGTTTGACATTGTTTTCGCAACTTGGTCATATTGGTAGGAAGACTTGGAGGAATGAATCTATTCCGGAGTCCATGGTATGCATGATAACTTTGAGTCGGATCGTGGATGTGGTACATTCCCAGACGCTTCGCTGGCATCAGTTAGTCTTGCCATTCTTAGCACCACACTACAACTCGTCAGAGACAAATGAAGCCGATCCTTTGACGAATTGTATGTTAGACAATAAGAAGAAAGGATAGATACCACAATTTCTTTTTAGCAAATAATTGGTCAAAGGATCGGCTTCACTTGACTCTTTGACAAGTTGTAGTGTGGTGCTAAAAATTGCAAGAATCGCTGACGATTCCGACTACGATGCCGGCGAAAAGTATGGGAATGTACTAAGTTTACGGTACGAGTCTGGAAAGTATGATGCATACACTATACTTCGGACTAGGTGGGTTCCTCTAAATCTTACTACTAATATAAGTACGTTAAGAAAAAAAGGTTAAACAATTGTATTGTCCAAATAACTACAATAGTATATGGACAGGACAAATAAGGGACTGTATTTGATTTACTTTTTACAGATCGCTTTTCATAAAAGGTTTATTTTGGAGTAAACAATAGACGAAAAAGTATCGGAGTTCGACAGATCGTGGCAATATCATTCATAAAAAATTATAATAGAATAAGATAGCATATATTAGATAAGTCTATCGGCTTATTGAAACTTATCAATGCCCTAGACGTTATATAAAGGCCTTGGAAGGCTGTAGGAAAGATACCGAAATGTCGATAAAGGCGGAGGCCAATCCATGAACCTATTTGATCCGTGCCTCGAAATTAGCATCTTAAAATAGTGCAGCGTATGCCTTTACAAATGAGGTAATGTCAGAAAATAAAAACGACACAAATAAATATCGTTAATGTGGGCTTATCGAGTTGATAATTAAGAAAATAGACGGCTAATTAACCAGCCAGTTTCAAGCATATTTTGTAAGTGATAAAATCCAAGGTTAGTCAATATCTAACTGAAACCAACAGGAAAATAATGTGCGCGTCAAATGACTAGGAACGCAGGTAATAATCGCAAATAATGTGGATAAATACATATCAAAAGGTGGATAAGTAAAACTCTATATGGACAGTAGACTTAAAGACTAGTTGAATAACTCACTATGCTGATCATAAAGGAAACAACTGAGCTGCGAACTTTAGCTCGCACTTTTTCATCAAATCGGCTTGCAACCTCGGCGTCTGATTGAAACAGACGGTAACGGCAGATAAGTCGATTGATCAGGTCAGCAGACGTCATAAATGTACGATAGATGAATTGAAACGTCTCTAAAAATAGAAAGACTGGATGCAAAAAAAAAGATTTTAGAATAGAGAAAAATGGAAGATGAGAGATGGTATATTAAGTGGCAGGTAATTTTATAATGATTAAAATTTAATTCGCATCCTAATTTTACTTAGAAAATAAGAGGTAGACGTATAATTGTGAAATGATCTGCAATTTTGTACTTAAAACTGCTGTGAATTTTGATAGATTGATGCGGCATACTGAGCTTGTATATTTGAGTCTAGACAGGCAGGTCAGAATTCGAGAGAAAAAGATATAGTCTTGCTTATTATTAAATTAAAATTTAACTAGACATTATGAAGAATAATTAAACAATTTATTAGATATAAACAGGTCTCGTTTAAGTTAGAAAAACAAAGAGGGTTGAACAAGGGAAGAATAGGAATATCTGAGAATAGGGCTTTAATCTGTCATGTATGCATGATAATTCAAATTAATAGATGAATCCTTATAAAGCAGGATCACTGATTTATATATCGAACTAAAAGGCCTTTAGACTGAATAGGGATAATGTTTATGAAAACTTCTCTAGAGGTATTCTTATAGCCTGTGCTTCAAATAAATGCTCTATCAAAAGTTTCTCAGCTGGAAAGTTTATTCAATGGAATGGGCGAAGAAAATGAATAACAAAAACGCATATTGGATAAAAATTTCTTCCATGAAGATGATATTTTAACATTAACTTTGTACTGATTTTCAATCCGCCCAGTACAAAAGAAAGGATTCAATCTTGCCTATGATTCATAAGCCCCTCCCGCAGTACTTAAACAGTGTATGTGATAGTAGACAGTCAGACGTGTTACCCCAGAATGACTTATACGAAATGTTTAACTTTCAAGACGAAGCAAGCTTCCACCAACCAAAAAAATTTCGTATGAAATTATGTACCGAAAGACAACTGTACGTTTGCCATTAAACTCCATAAATAAATGATTATGCTGTTAAAAACAGTTTCGTACATATTAATTTATGGTGAACAAATCCTCAATAAAGAAAATAATCGAAACTTGAAAGCTGCAAGGCAAAACTTAGCCTAGCAGATAATCAGGCTATTAAAGGATAAAATCATATAAAATCCAGATAATAGATAGTATGGAGTGAATTAATGGTAGTGGTTAAGCTAGCCACCATAAATAAGGACTTAGATCATTATTAAAAACATAAAATAGACTGCAGTGTTTCGCAGGCTTAGATCTAAGCGGCATACTCAGCATGATTGCAAATGTGATGTTTCGCGCTACTAATAAGATGAAAAGGACTTAGCGAACATTAGTCATAGATAGGCTTAACAATAAAGAACTGAAAAAAGAGGAGACCACGTCTTTTAGTCCATCTAGGCTCTATTAGTGAGTTCAACAAGTTTGTATGAGCAAAGACAAAAAACAGATCAAAATAACTCAAAACAGTGTCAGAAAAATACTAAATAACATAATCAATTGAATGTGATGAAGGTCTGATACTAAATGTTCCCATAATGATATGAGCAGGTCTCACTATGCTAGACAATTTTACTTGGCCTCAATGCCTGAAAAGTATTCTCATCCAGGATGAACTGTAGCTTTGACCTCACCTGGGTCTCGACAGAGCCCCCAAATGTGGGCTAATCCGTGGCAGTGAAAATAAAAGACTGCACTAAGCAGGTTAGATTACCGCCTGGATGCAGATAGGATCCAGCCGAGGTTGAAATTGCATTCTACACTGGATGATAATAAACTGTGGGAGGAAGCGAAGCGCAATTCAAAAAAATAATGATTCCTACTCATAGCAATAGGAAGATTCGTAAATGAGTAGGGTTTCGAGACTACCAGTAAATCAGTGTAATGAGATGTATTCATCCTATTTCGTGTAAGGTGATGAGGACTGCTAGTAGAATTTCCCCACAATGATATGAGTTTTAGCTGACTTTTCCATTGAATTTCACATAGCCTTGCTTTCCCAAAAGTTGT